TATTATGGGAGAGAACACACGAGCCAAAGTCCGCAGTGCCCAGTGCCCAGTGCCAGTACCCCCCGAAGTGGCCCAGCCTTTTACACTTGAAAAAACACAAATAAATATATTTTAATTTGAATGCAAATATGTGCTCAACAATATTGGCATATACGTATATTTACTGGTCTGAAGAATTAATTTCTTTCTTGCTAACTTCAAAATCCTTCAATGCAACATCATTAAATATCCTTTTCTTTCCCGCGGTGTATCCCGACTTTGGCCCGAATGCAATGTGCAAGTGTCACTGATTTATGGCCAAGAGTTGGTCTACTGGTGTGTATGTGTTTGTGTGCCAGTTAGCTTGTTTTGACCAAGTTAACTGGTTTAATGGCCCAATAGAGTGAAAGAGTAAGAGAGAGGGAGAGGGTAGGGTGTAGCATACTCACTTGTGCCGCTCCTCCGCTGACTCCGGTCCTGCTGCGACAACAGCGGCAACTCCAGATCCCCGCCTGCCTCCTCAGGGCTCTCAGGGCGTTTTGCCATATTCATTTGTTGTTTATTTAATATTTGTTTTGATTAGTGATTATAAACTAATTATTGTGATACGTGCCATTCAGTTTCAGTTTCGTTTGCAGTTTTGCGAATTCTCTTGCCCGAAATCACTTAATTTACGACTTGGCGCCGCTCGGCACTCCACTCAAATGGCGCTCTTATCACTGCTCCGCTGTTGGGTGCTTATCAGCCGGCATTGGTTGGTTCACAGCAGGGGGGTCTGGCAGGGGCTGTTTGCTATTCCTAAGTAGCTCTAGGGCACTCGATCGGAACTGCTCGCGGAACTGCGGCAGCTGCCTGACCCACATAAATCACGTTCCAATGGCCCAAAATTGGCCAGACGTGCTGGCATTTGCTGGCATTACACTTCCTAGCGTTTAATTCCAGCCAATATTAGGGATCGTCTAACAACTGGGAGACGTTCGCGCTCGCGTTAGGTTACTGATTTCTGGAGCGGCTCTCTCCTCGTGAGAGACGTGCGAACTGTGCAACGAACGGTGGCTAACTGACTCTGACTCTGGTTCTGAATATGCTGGCAAGCATCGAGGCGACCATCCGACCAGCGACCAGCGAGCAGAGCGCCCCAGGCGTTGACTTCAAGGCAAGTCTTCCCCCCAGCCGATATAATGCCTCGGGTGCGTTGGCGACTACCGAAAAAAGCTTCCACTTGTTTGTTTTTTGTTTTTTGTTTCTGTTTTCGTTTTATAATTAACAGCAAAGACAAAAAGAAGAGGATGCAAGACCGCAGTTGGGCATACACTACCCAGCAAAACGAGGGGAAGGCATCCATATCGCACCACAAACCGAGTGAAATAACTGGAATACCTGTCTCCAAAGGGCATGTTTCTCTGTGTAGGGAGGAGGGGCACCACTAAAAATGTATTTACACGTTCATTGATCGTCACTGGACTCGAACGAAAATGCTCTCTCTCTCTCTCTCTCTGTCTGTCACCTCTCGATCACCACCGAAGAGTGCCTGCATGTCACCTGCATGACAGCTACTGAATGCCATATCAGACCTTCGCTGGAACCTCTGTACGATCGATATTTGCCTTCAGTTCAGTTTGATCCGAATGATCGTCGAAACATATGCAAATTCCATGCAAAGCGTTCACAAGATTTTTGTGCAAAATCGAGGACTGGTTGGGTGACTGGACTGGGGGAAGGCCTTGACATATTTCACTTGAATTATGGGAATTAAACGTTCGAGTGAGGATTGTCGCCATTAAATGCCAAATAAAACAATAGTTTTTAGGTATTTAATTGGCGTTTATTCCTGGAGAGTTCTCTTAATTATTTAACATGTTTGTGTACGCTGCCTTAGGGCATAGAATTGTCTTCCTAGTCGAACCTTTCTTTTGCGTTTTACGACACGACACTTGCCGTTTCTTTAGTTGCTCTCTACTGCAGTCCAGTCCAGTCCAGCATTCGTAAACATAAGTTATCTGCTAGGGGAGGTAACTGGTAAATGGAAGTAAGATTGGCATCGTTTCATGTGTACAATTCTCTCAATTCAAAGGGAGAATTTATCTCTTGTTAAGTTCCCATCTTTGTACATACTTGTATGCACATTTCGCCTCCTTCTTAGGGAGCTTTACACACAACAAGCCTGCAAACAAATATCCATTTTAAAAGACAGGACTCCAACCCGACAGATATTCTCCACCAAAAGCACACAAACAAAGCTCCACGAAAAAGCTTCCAAGTTTAAGCGCAAAACTCACCTCTGGCTGTGGCGCCAAGGATGTTTGCTTTTCCCAGGATACTCAGAAGTTACCACAACACGGCATTTCCGTTCTGCTGTCAGGGACTTTGGAACGCATTAAATAACATCAAAATAAACAAACAAATTGTGCAGACAATTGCTTTGCGGTCGTCCCAGCCTCAAAGCAGCCGCAACAAATTGTGCTAGAGGCAAAGGGGAAGGGAAGTGGACTATGACGTAGATTGAAGTGCAATGGGATGGGCAGGGGATTGGCGCGGGCAAGGGGGTGTGGGGTTGGGATTATCCTAGCGGAAAAGTATGTACTCTACGCGTGGGTCGTGTGCCGCTCCCGAGATTCGTCGAATGGATTTGCTCTGGTTTGAATGCCAAACGCTAATCGATATAAACCAGACAAAGGTCCTTGGGCATCCATATGTATGTACATATGTATGTATGGGCAGGGGGTTGCTTGGGCTGCGGGCTGTGAGCTGTGGTCTGTGGCTGATGGGCCAACTCTTGACACTATCAATCTGTTTTCTCTCTGTGCGTTTGTTTGCTTTTTACGAGTGTGTGTGAGAACTGTTTGATTCAATTATCACAGCATAAATATGCCTCAGAGATTTGAGATAACCAGTGGGGAAACATCTGAGAAAGGAGTTCGTGTAGTAGCACCGAATAGGATGGCACTTTGTTCTGTGTTCAATGGAAGGTTTGACTCTTCTTTATTAATTTGCTAATTTCTTGCAAACGGGTTACCCCCCAGATTAGCTGCAAACTTTCAATCCGCTTGATTATCATCATAAAAATACACAATCAAACGCGTTTCAAAGTGCGAAATTAGCTTGGTCTTTAATTTAAATAGTGACGTTTTAACTGAATAGAATTCTACCTTCCTCGCACCATAATAATTCTCCTCCTTCGAGCTATATTTCTTCCCACAGCGCTTCTCCCCGAATTAGCCTTCTGGTCCAACCCTTTGTGTACCTCCTCCAACCAAGCCCAAATTAACATGTTCGGTTGCTTGGCTTAGGCTATAAGCACTCTTCAAGTATTGTGAATAAATATGCAAATCAAATCAGAGTTGAGTTAACATTTATTTTATTTATTTTTCTAGTTTTCCCACAGTCAGGGTCAGCGAATAGCGTCTCCTTCGCTGCACTCGTTTGAAATGCGATAATTTAATTGTGGCCCAATGACAAGTCCGAACCTCACCACATTCTAAACATCATCCACAAAAAGGGGTTGGAATGGGAACAGTGAGTGGGTACCCGTTGTAGGGCGGTTTCCCTTGCAGCATCTCCCAAAAGTTAAATTAACAATCGTGTTTACATTGGTTTGTAACAAGATTTCACTTAAGGATGTCAGCTTTGTGCCGTCACCACACACATTCCTACTCGCTGTTCCCTGTTCCCTGTTCCTATTTCTATCTGCCGCTCAATCGCTTCGAACTGGATCAGGGGATCGTGTTCCGGGCACTTACCCTCCATCAAAACTGATTACTGTCATCACGGAACGGACGAAAGTGTGCGCCGACGCGTGTCGACAAGCAAATTTGTCTGGTAATGAAAAGGTTTGCGCATCCGCCTGGCATATTGCCGCGCTTCCCTTTGTTCGACTCTACGACTGCTCGGGATTTTCGCGCCTCGGGTTAAGGCACGCGACCAGGTCGCTCGGTCGCCCGACTGGGCGGGCCAGTCAGCGATGGGTGAGATTGCTGCCCGATTGGTACGAAGCTAATTTACGCGTAAACCAAAACATCAAATAAACATAATTCAATTTCAACAATTGCCCCGTGACTGGTGTTGACAAAGGATCTGGGGCTGGATTCGAGTGGTTGCTGATCCTGCTTCTCCTTACTGAGGGGGGTTCTGATTCCGATGCTGGTTAAGTTAAATGATCCGTGAAATGTAGAGTACTCAGTGCTATCTCCCATGGGTGTGTAATTGTTCTGATCCCGTGGGAATCCAACTCCAATTGCAGCCAGTCCCATCAACAGGTTCGATGGCCCCTATAAAGAGCTCTCATTACTGACAGACTTTCCCGATTCTGTATATGTATCTCCCATATGGGCCGACAAGATGTCAAGTTTCAGTTGGAGTTGCGATGGGGATGTTCTGGTTAGGGTTAGTCTCTGCTTTCTCTTCCTGCGCTTCCCCATTGACAAACATGGCTGCTGCCTGCTGTGCGAAATATAATGGCAAACTGTCAAAAACAGGTGAAGGAAGCACAAAGCCAAGCCCGAAAAGGGGACTGCCACAAATGGGGGCGCAGTCGGTTAGAGCGGCTAAGAGATGCGCTGCATAAAAGAGAGAAGCACGAGATTTGAGATGGAGAAAGATGCCTGGATTGAGAGTAGAATTATTGTAGATTTTCCAGCTACAAATCTCTTCAATTGCTTTCACATATTATGGGAAAGTCTCAAAGTTTTTCGCCCACAACTCGCGACAAATCAATTACCATAATTAGCCAGCAGTTCTACTGGGGGTGTAGGGCAACACCCAGAGACCTCTTGGCTGAATTCCCACAGCAGCTTCCGCTTGAAGACCAAAACCGTGCCAAAACACCCTGTACGGCTACTTCTGAAACTCCGCCCACCCGTTTGAGGGCGCCGCACGGCGAATGGTTGGTCGGGATGCTGTTGCTTAAGGGTGGATTTCATGGTTCCATCCATGGCAGAGTTGTGGCATTTCCAATTGGATTTTGTGGCACTATAAAAGCGAGCCTTTTCCCGGGAGACTGACTCATTAAACATTCAAACTTATTGGCCAGCGGAAGTGCCAAAAAGGTGTTCGGAAAAATCTCAGAAAGTGCAAACAATAGAGACTAATCTGAAGTGCAGTGAAGCTCTCTGGGAAAATTCAAGAAAAATGTCGCGAAATCAATTGCCAGATTCGTCTTCATCACCGCCAATAAGGTGAGAGAGGTTACTTGAGCTTGAAAGGAATCAAAGAGTGCATCAACAAAAATTGTTCCTGGAATTATTGGAAAATAATGATTAAACAATTCAGATAATTATTGCATTAATTAATCAATAAATCTGCCACAAACTGCCACGGCAACTTCTAAGTTCGAGTTTTCCCCCAGAAAACTTTGTGCTTACCGACGGCAGCTTCCAAAGACATAACACTTACATATCCCATCTACATCTGCAGCCACATGCCGTTCCATAACTTTGATGATGATCTGATAAATGATCTGCCCTCCTGCATCTATGCGGGCCAGCATCAGGGCGGCGGCAACAATGGTGGCGGAGGTGCTGGCGGCTCAGGTGGCAGCTCCGGACTGCGCCTCAACTCGAACAATTTGCGGCACATACAGCAGCATTACATGCAACACGGAGGAGGTACGCACGAGTCAAAGACATCAAAAACCAAGCCAGTAATATATATAAAATATCCTGAACTTCCTAGAGAATCTCTTGGACTCCTCGACCAACCCAATGGGTGTGCATCAGTCGAGTAGTGCCACGCCCTTGATGTGTAACAGTCCCAGTGCCAGCAGCAGTGGCGGCAACGGGGGCCCTGGAGGAGCCTCAGGAGCAGGAGGTGGAGGTGTCGGAGGCGGGGGTTCCAATCCCAACTATGGCTCGGTGGGTGCCACAGCCGCATCCAGCTACAAAATGCAGCGACAGGCGGCCAATGTGCGAGAAAGGAAACGCATCCAGAGGTCCGCACCAACTGGGTACACCAAATGGTCTTTTCCATTTTAAAGATTAACACTGCCACAAGCCCCGAACCAGCAATGGTCGACTAACAAGCGTTTCCTGTCTCTTGCTCTATTCCTGTGCTCTTTCTCGTTGCGCTTTGCAGTAGCATCAATTCGGCCTTTGATGAGTTGAGGGTCCATGTGCCCACATTTCCGTATGAGAAGCGACTGAGCAAGATCGACACACTCCGCCTGGCCATTGCTTACATATCGTTGCTGCGCGAGGTGCTTCAGACCGACTACGATCCATTGACCTACGTGGAGAAGTGTCTGCGGGGCGAGATCAAAGCGGATCGCGCCAACTGGAACACGAGTGGTAGGTGTTTGCTGATAGGAAATAGGAAACTAAACAGAGGCAGGAGAGGAATTCCTTTAATTCCTTTGTGTGCTTTATTCGATAGATCTCACTGCTCGTCTCTCGTGGATCAACTGGGAGAACCTGGGCGTTCATCCGGGACGTCGCACGCTGCTCACTTCGCTGGCTCTGTCCTCGGAGCCCATGTGTGGTGCTCATTGCGGCATGCCATGAATGGGATGGTGTCCAGATTAGCCAAGCTAACTCTGGAATCGTTTGCTAAAAGCAACATCAAGTTCTTCCCATCCGTTTCTGATTTAGTTGAAGTCTTCCTTCCCCTTGTATAATGATTTAGTTAAAGACTGACTGGCACATTTCTACAATTACTAACAATAAGCAATAGTATTATATTTTATTTTGAAAAGCATCCAAAGACTCACAAAAATCGCCCACACACAACGCAGCATCGAAGCAAGCAACTTCTCCCCCCAAATGGATTTTAGTTGTTGGCGGGTGATGGCTGCTGCAGCAGTGTGTTTGTGTGTGTGTGTGTGCCTGTGGGGTTTTCGCAATTACAAATCAATTCCTCAAATCATATTTCAGGATATATATATGTAGTATCAGATCAGATCAGTTGTAAATAGTGAGTATTCTACGACACGATAGCCCGTAAGTACACGTGGGCCCAATCGCGTTTCGTGGCTAACAGACACATACATATATAAGTTAGGCAACTATGTAACAACTTTAAAAGCATTTATATAAAAGAGCACACACACTCGAATATGTGTGTGTGTGTGTGTTAATCTAGACGTAAACATAGCATAGACATATACATATTATTATCGGCTCTTCTTCCTTCCAACGTACATGTACTCAAAAATAAATACTCTTTTTTGATCAACAGGAAAAAAAACAAAACTTAGAACACAAAATGTTTTGTCGTTTGTGGATGGATGGATTGTTTGTGTGTGTAGTTGTGTGTTTGACTGATAATACATGCTTTATATGCGGAAGATATCATCTAGACTCTGGAGACTGTTGTTTTGTTTGGCTACTAATCATTCCTACTGCAGGCTTCGTTCCGCTTTGGTAACATGGGGTTTACTTTTGTTTTTGATTTGATTTGATTTCGTTGGTTAATACTCGAATCGCTTTTTGGCTTCAATGATAATACAGGCACACCTACATATATAGAGCAGTACTATACCCAATGACACATTTTAGACGACTACGCTCCTAATAATTGAATTGTTTTCGATTGCTTCTCCAATTTGGTATTTGGTTTTTGTTGCTTGTTTGATCTTATATTTGATCTGCTGGTCTCTCTTAACGTCTCAGAACAACTCTCAACCTCCCTCTTCCTTATGCGGGATTCAGAACTGCCACTTTCCGCAGGCTCTCCAGTTCGCTGCGTTTCAAGCGTAATGCAAACATGGACTCAATGAAGCCATGGCAGTCCGTCACAATGCTGTCCTGGATCATGATGTCGCGAAAGTGATTGGCCAAGGCGGCAATATCGTCGCAGGCCAGAATGCTGGTTTTGTGGGTGACAAACATGGCCAGGGCAGCACGAAAAACGATCTTGTAGCCCTCGGCAAACACACAATCCCAGATGCGCAGCACCGTCTCCACGGGCAGCACCTCCGCAAATATGCAGATGAACCACTTGCTGGCAATGACAGGATACGGAAGACCTACGAGCAGGGGGAACGAGTGAGCAAAGCATGGAAATGCACAAGGGGGCAGAGACTCACCCAAATTGTCCACATGCCGATTGACAGCGGGCACACGGCGAATTACGAGCTCCCGAAATACGGCAAGGTCTCTCAGCAGATTGGACATGTTATGAGAGTGATACTGTGGCACAATATTCTCCACGATATGCTTGAGCAGCCAGAAGGACTTCTCCTCGTCCTCGGTGACGATGAGCAGCAGCCCGGCAATGTAGTTAAGCCCCTGGCAGTAGCCCACATCGCGATTGTGGTGCGCATAGGCGATGAGGATGTTGTACAGGCGCTGCTTCTTCGTGTCAAAGTGGATATTGTCGGGAAACGTACGAGGTAGATCGATTGATATGGAATCGCTGATTTCCTTGTCGAAGGTTTCGCTGTTCAACAGACTGCGATATAGATTGGGCGCCCGCCTTTGCTCGGCTGCGGCGCCCGATATCTTCATCCAGACATCGGGACGGTATGGGCCGGGTATGCCCTTGCGTATGTAACGCTTTAGCTTAGCATCCACCTGGCTGAGATCTGGGTTCTGCTGCAGTATCGCCTCCCATTTCATGCGGCGTCGTGTCAGCGTCTTTAGGTAGCCATCCATGAACTTGGAATAGTTCCTGTAGTCGAAGTTTTGGCCACGTTTGAAGCCATACTCGTCCACATCGCTGCAAATATAAACGAGGGTTTTGAGGCTGACTGAAGATCCACTGGAGCGTGGACTCACCTGAACTTTGAACTTGCGGTAGCATCCATAAGAACTAATGACTAGATTGTATATTGGTGTATTGCTCACGTTTGTTTTGGTCGTTCGTTGGTCTTTTCTGTTTATTATTTTCTTTATTTTAAGGGTTCTGCAGAGTCAGTCAATCGGTTGTGGCTCTGGCTCTGGCTGTGGCATGGCCACAAAATTGCTTTTTTGTATTCAGCGCACGTTGCTCGGTTACGTCGCTGCCGCTGGCGCCGCTTCCGCCGCTGCAACTGCAACATTCAATTGGGTTAAAGTTCATTAAACATTACTTGCCTCGCCACACAGCCCTTCATTTATTTTTAAGTCACTTTCAGCCTTGCCAATCGCCTACCTATCTACACACACACACTCTGCTACGTTGTCCTTGAACGGTGGGGTGGGTGGCCTTTCTGTGTGTGTGAGCGCCCACTCGTCGTCGCTGCCGCTGCCTCTGCCTCTGCTGCTGCGCTGCTCTCTGCTGTGGTAGGCGTTTTAGCGCGCCTCTTCACTGATAACATTTACCTCACGCCACAGGAGTGAGGGGGCGGATCGGTGGGCACAGGCACAGAATACAGGTGTCACGGAGCACGTCTCTTGGGCCAGCGGCGTGCTTTCGGTGACTGGTGATTGGTGCGATTGGAGCTGCCACTAGTGATTTCATTGAAGATTTATGTGCCACTTATCAAAATGGCTAAAACTAAGCAAAATTTTGTTGTTTCGCGTCTCGGTCAGTGTGACCGCGGAAATGTAGATAAAATATACCGTAAAGGCCTCGAAAATATACCGGAATATACTTTTTCATTTTTTAAAATATACCGTAAAATTTACTTTAAATCTAAAATCATTTTCCTCGATTTTGATGTGAAATTTAATATTATCAGCTGGTTAGGACTCTCAGCTTTAAAAATGTAATTTTACTCAAATCATCTTTCAATTCTCCGCTGGATTTGCTGATTTAATGATACATCTTTTCTTAATTGATTTCATAATAAGGTTAAAACTAAAAAAGGTCAACCAAAAAAATATATTTTCAATACCTAATAATATAAATCCATTTATCAACTACTGTTAATAATTAACAATGACTTTGTCTTAGACTGACATGCTTTAAACCTTTTCATATGTATTGTATGTACTATACGCCGCCGATCTGTATACATTCTCAGTTTCTATTGAGATTGTGACTGTTTCGAAGGATACCACTCCTCCATCATCAGCGATCGTTTCTTTCCGACCGAATTTCTGTCTCTAAAACAATTATTTGTTTGCAACGCTCTTGATCTCGGATCGTAAGCAATGGCACTTGTTCCAACAAATTTTTGATTGGTTCTTGTTGATTATTGCAATCAATATGCTGAGATTGTTACGAACCTGTTTTGGTTTTGGGGCTAGGCCGGCTGGCCAGTCATTCCAGGGCTGTGTTTTTACCAAGCCCCCTGGTCGCACAACAAACCAACTGTTCGGACATCTCGAACAAATACCAAAAACAAACGATAATTGAAAAACAATGCAACGGACTTTACTCTACATCTAACGGACAATCATCTCCTCGACACAGACGTGGACAAGTTTACGGTGCCGATGGTCTACCTCTGGCGTACTCTACTTGAGATCCGACTCAAAACAATTACGAATCTCCTTTCCCAAGTGCCTTTCTCCATCTCGCCGTTGTGGTCCCCTTTCCCCCCATACTAAACACACTAGCTCGCGCCCGGGCAGGTGAGTGACCAGGATTCCGCGGGCCGGGGAATGGTAATGTGGCCAAATCCAGGAGGCCAGTCTGTTCTATATTTTCCCTAAGAGTTTTCCAATACTAAATGTTGGAATTTGTTCCCTCTTGAACGGACTCACTTTTGCTTGGATGCGGTTAAAAATCCTCTGAATTTTCCCGCCGGTCTGTTTTTCTTTTTTCCGATTTGGTTCCGATTTTCTTCTCCGCGGTCACACACATAAACGATCTAACGCTTCCGATATCCACTAACTGCATGCTCAGCGTTGCTGAGTCTATGCATTCCCTCTTAATGCAGTGGTTGCCTGTTATACAATTTACTTATTGTTTAAAAAAACAAATTGTAAATATAAAGAGAGAGAAAAAAAAAAAAAAAAATTTTTCTATATCATGCAAAATTGGATAAGATATCTCTCCAACGCAGATTTACTTGTTTTTTCATTGATTAGAGCCTACGATTTCCAGCACTTTCCCAATTCGAGGACATCCTTCCCTCTAAGGGTACTAAATGTTGCTTATTCCATGAAAAATGCTGTGGAACAATGCTGCGTGGAGCATGTTGCTGGTCCATACAAATTATGTTGCCAACTGTAAAATACGTAAATGGGGATGGAATTCTACGTAAGTGGGGATGGAATAAAGACTCATTGTTGCGATGAAAATTCCCGATGAGTCCGCATTGACCAGGCTAGGAAACAAATTTTTAACTCAAAAAAGAGTTTGCGAACGAACCTGGGCTCGGTGTCCGCCGAGTTATCGATAGAACATAATGACTGCACCTCACAAATATACCAAAATATATACCACAATCCGATAAGTTGCATGATGTGTGAGATGACAGGAGTTCGTTTACATCATGCGATGTATCAAAACACAAAATTTGACTAAAAATGTGTTTTTTTTAGGATAAACTAAACATTAGATTCGTTTAAATTCCATTCTGTCAATTATACTGTTATTATTACAGCAATTGATTGCATAAAACCTCTTTTAACTGTGCCTTGCATGCCTATCATGCATGGTGTTCCATCAAGCAGTCGTCACGTGTATTTGACATTACGCAATGTTTAAAAATTAAGGTAAAAACATCGTTTGCTGTGCAAGCAAACCTACGAAATTTCACACAAAAAACTTGGGGCATCGACAAAGATTGCGAAATGCTGCGAAAAGCCACGATGGGACTCCTGGCAGCCGCTGCGGTAAAGGCAGCACCCGAACCGCCGAAAGCCACACAACCAAAGAAGGATGAGGATTGTTCACTCGTGTGCCGTCCCAGTGAATTGCCCATCTACGGCACCCTGCGCAAGACACAGTGAGTGGAGTGCAGCTCCAGTAGAAGCAACCACCAATCCCGACTTACCCACTTTTAGGCCCACAAAGGAGCGTCACACTCCGAGGGAATCGGCGCTGGAAAGGAATCTGCAGACTGGAGTGCGTACCGTGCGGGAGGAGGTGCAGGCTGGCTACCGGGCCGTGGCTGACCAGGCTGGTATCATCGGCACCTACGTGGACACGGCGAAGGCCCACACGCAGCACACCCTCGACATCCTGAACGAGCCACAGAACTCGCTCCATCGCAGCGGCGCCATTGTGGTGGGCGGTCTGGCCGGTTTCATCTTTGCCGCCCGCGGCGGCTTTGTCAAGAAGGTGATCTACACTGGCATTGGCTCCGGAGCGGTTGCCTCCTTGTGCTATCCCCGCCAGGCGGAGGAGAACTGTCTCGTGGTGCTGCACGAGGGCCGCAAAATCTTTGCCGTCGCCTACAACTTCATCAAGGGCGTGAAACCCGGCGAGGAGGTGCCCATTGAGCCCATCCAGAAGTTCCCCACCTCGCTGCAGGACCTCAAGTACCTGGCCCTCGATCTGATCGATGAGGCCAAGGAGGTGGTCTTCCCCAAGAAGAAGTAAACACAGAGCCAGAGCCTTGGCTTTTGCAAACGAACCTAAAATCGAACCGAAAGTGTGAACTCTGCGATGCTGCGCTTCAATTTTTTCCGATTTTTTGTGATCAATCTAGATAATTCTTTACCTCTTTATCGCCCTCTCCCTGCGGAGTACTTCACGGAGTAGCCACAAAATAAATTCGCCTCGCGTCCCAAAAGTGAAATCTCTGTACAATTTGTACCTTTGTCTCGATCTGATCTGTATGTGTGTGTGTGTGTGTGTGTGTGTGTGGGCCGTGCACAGAATCCCTCACATGAATCTTTGAGTGATTAATTGTTGAAGCATCCGTTGGCTGTTGGTTGTTGCTTGGTGTTGGTGTCAAATGTCACTGGGGAGAAGCTGTTGAAAAGTGAAATCCACTGGAAAGTGGCAAACCCCACGTGCAAAATCGCCGATTGTGCCAATCATCTTCAATGGTGCCCCTCAGGTGCTTCGGCGATGACTGAAAAGGAAATGAATGAATGAATGAACACTCCACAGTGCTCGCCGCGAGGCATACAATTGTTCAACGGAATGGCCACAGAATGTGTTGTTTTCAATAGTTTTTTATTGCTTTTTTGATTCTTTGGGCAAGATACAAACAACATGGGTCGGATGTCTGTCTGCAGTTTGTTTATAAATTAGATAGATTTAGTTAATTGTTTAATGATATTATTGCTAGGCCTAAAATACCAACAACATTGTGGGTCGCATACTCGCAAATGACTCTCGCCCGCCCATACCCCACCATCCTGCCCCCCAATCTAATTTTTTCGGCTATTTACAAATGGAAATTCCCCAGAAACTCTAACATTTTCTCGCTAGACTAACTTAATGGGCGTTGACTCGTGTGTGTGTGTGTGTGCTTGGGCAGGGGCGTGGCAGTGTGTCAATGCTGTGTTTACAAATTGTTAAAATTGAAGCTAACTACGCTTAACATTCCTTTAAGATAAATCACACAAATCTTACATAAGCTACAACTCGATAAATTAAAACAATAACAAAAGTCGAGGGAGCGCATCTAGAGTCTAGAATGATCGTTCGTTCGTTCGGTCATCATCTGACATGCTCCAGTATCCAGGGCACAAACTTGGATATGCGCGTACACACACCCGGCAGATTCGCCTCCGCGCAGCCAATGCCCCACGAGATGATGCCAGCGAGAAAGAAGCGACCATCCTGTGACTTGGCCTAAAAGAGAGAGAGAGAGAGATCATAAGCCTCAAGAGAGTGTTCGCTAGAGTTTTGTTCATGTCTGCAGCCTTACCTGCAGCGGTCCACCGGAGTCGCCCTGACAAGAGTCCTGGCCGCCCGTCTCATAGCCCGCACACAGGAAGATGTCCGGAATGAACTCCTGGCGTCCGGCGCGCAGAAACATGGACTTGCAATTGTCGTTGCTCACAATAGGAACAGAGACCTATGGGAGAAAGCATTTAAGATGATTATGCGCCCATTTCTCTGCCACTTAAAACTAGTTCATGTCTCGAATCTTTTCTCTATTCCCACTCAGAGATGTTCTAGCTCCAAGTTCTGGTTTAATGCCTTCAAATCTTTTTCTCAAATTCATATTCCTAATTGCAATCTCTCCCAATCCCACTCTGTGCTGCTGCTCATTTGCCTTTCGGTCAATTCGTTGCGGTCTTCAGTGTTGCAATGTTGCAATGTTGCACACTCACCTCTTGGAGTACCGAGGGCAGGGTGCCGCCCTCGCTGAGCCGACCCCAGCCTGTGACCGTGGCATTCATGCCAATTAGAAGGCTCTCCGTCTCGGGCAGACAAATGGGACTGACATGCGGAGCAAATTCGAGCGGCTGCTCCAGCTTGACCAGCGCCAGATCGTACTCGTACGTAAAGAAGTTGTACTTCGGATGGACCACCTTCTTGGCCACACCGCGCTCTATATAGGGCAGCTGTTCCTGCACATGCGAGAAGTCGTATTCGCCCACGCGGATGCGTATCTGCGAGATGAGCAGGCTGAATGGAAAGGGAGACGGAGACGGAAACGGAGACGGCATAGATTAGCTGGGCTAGCCCGGGACGGTGGACTTTAGATACTCACTCGTCTACACAGTGACCAGCTGTGGCTATCCAATTCTCGTTGATCAAAGCGCCACCGCACCGATGGGTGCTGGAGAAGCCAAAGAAGGAGGTGCGTCGCACCGACACCTGCCAGGGCCAACGACCGAAGGCCGCACTCTTGCCGCCCACAATCCGAGTCTCGGGCCTCGCCAGTGTCGGGATGCCGCATTCTGCAAACGAAAACAATAACAAATTGGAGTGTCAAGTTGGGACCTGGTCGGATCTGCTGGGGAGGTGGCTTGGGGGTTTAGGGCGTGGCACCTACCGCTGCGTGCCGCAGAAATGGTCTTCACATGGCCCAGCGCCGTCACACCCGTCGTCGTCGCCGCCCCCTCGTGTGTGGAGGAGTCCGTTATCTCGTTGGTCTCAATGTGGCCCCCACCACCGCTGCCACCGCCAGATGATGTGGCCTCCAGTATAGGACGATGCGTGGGCTGGCTGCTGCTGCTGCTGCTGCTGCTGCTGCTGCTGCTGCTGCTGCTGCTGGAGATGATGCTTGGACTCGTATGTGGCCTGGTCGTGGTGGGTGTCTTGGCAGTGCTTGTCGAACTTCTCGTTGTGCTGCTGCTGGCTGTGGTGGGCCTTTGGTAGGGCCTTGTTGTGGTGATGCTGGTGGTTCTCCTCGTCGTTGTCGTCGTTTTCGGTGCTGGTGTGGTCGTTCTCCTCGTTGTCGTCGTACCCTTCGACGTGGAGTAGGTTGGGTAAGACGACGATGTAGCTAATGATGTGCCCGCCGACAGCTGCAAGGCAGACACAAAGTGGTAAACATTATGCTAAAATACTCCTCCAATCCGTCGGAACATTCTCCCCCCATTCCCTATGCCAGCCATGCAAAGAATCAATTTTTCATTTCGCCGCTAAATCAGCATTAAGTGGGGTTCCCTTTGCGGTGAACCGCCAGTGACTTTTGTATGCTCTAACCAAAGGGAAAGTTTATGTTTATTTTCAGTAGATTTGTGCGCCGAAAGTAGAAGATAAAACACTGACAAGATTCTCTTACTCTCCCCTTCCCAGCGGGTGCTCTTCCCCTGACATATGCACGCTATCCTCTTCCTGGAAAGAGCATGACATTCTATACACACCCCTGAGAGTGGCTCTCGTCATTGTCAGGCAGGGCTGTGGCTGTGGCTGTGGCTGTGGCTGAGCCAGTGCTGCGGCGGCGGCTGCGGCTGCGGCATTCAGGCAAATCTTACATCAACTTTTGGCCCTGACTTTGTGCAAACAATAAAATGTCCCCCAAGGCTGTGGCCGCCTGCCATTATGAAGGCTCAGGACCCAGTCCCGAGCTGCCCATAGCTCCTGCCCCGCCATTCCAGCAAAGTCGCGAAGAGTAAATGACCTCGTGGCTCGTTTGTTTCGCTTTCGACATCAATGCATCACCCAGCACCCGAGAGAACCAGAAACTGAGACGCGAGAGAGGAGAGAGGAGAGAGGAGAGCTCATCCTCAGCTTCGTATTTACATACCTGCGGCCTGGTGGGGCCCTGCGCTTGTGTATGATGGTCATGGGGATGTGTCTGGATCGTCGTCGTCGTTGTCGATGTCGTCGTGGATGATGGTGGCGGTGGCGGACGCTCGTAGACAATCGGTTTCTTTGTGGGCTTCGATGGCTTCGAGGGACGTGGACCGGGCATTTGCAGATTGACGATGCCGGGCTTCGTCCAGCCGTTGGTGGGTCGCGGCCTGGTAATAAAGCTCGGCTCGGTGGTCATCTGCCAGTGATTTTGTTGATGCTGCTGCTGCTGCTGCTGCTGCTGCTGCTGGGTTGATGTATGCCAAATGCTATCTGCAGTTGGTATTTGTTTGTTATAATTCGCTGTGCGCTAACAATGCATAATAATTAGGGAGGGGGGGAGGAGGCGCCACTCACTTGGACTCGAGCTCGAACTGAAGCTCGGGTGCGAGGCGGCACTCTGCAGATCCGACGACGTTGTGGGCTTGCTCTGATAGGGAGGCGGATGTGGCCGTGCCAAAGTGCCCTGATGATGCGGACCCGAAGGACGAATCACCAGTGTGCCAGCGCCATGTGGACGCTCAATGGTGGTCATGCCACTAAAGGAGAGAGAGCGGGGGAAATGCTGAATCACTGTCTCTATTTTGAGGCTATTATCTGGACTCACCTAATCATTGGCTTGTAGGCGGGCGGCGGCGGGCGTGGCCTTAGTGTCAGCGGCTTGGTGGGCCTTGTGTAGGAGAAGGCCGTCTGCGGCAGGACAATGTTGTCCGTAAAGTTGTGCGTGCAGCAGGAGCCGAACATGAAGGAGTCCACGCACATGCCCACATGACGGCCCTCGCTCTTGATGCACTCCCACACGAACATGCAGGTGCCCTCCACACGCCCAAAGGAGCACGGCTTGGGGCTGATCTTGAAGTTTTGACTGCGCTGCGGCTGCTGCTGCTGCTGCTGCTGATAGCCCTCCAGTCGGTGGGGGCTGCGATAGAAGCCGGACAGATCTGCATCATCTGCATCCGTGTCCAAAACGGGTGGCGTGATCAGGGCCGCTGTTGCTGTCGCCACAAGGCAATTGACTAAGATTAAGGCTACTAATACTTCTACTATTTGGTCTAGACTCCTCCGCCTGCTACGCCGGGAGCCAGCGCCCGCAGCTCCCTTTACTCCCTTTTCCGTTGCCGTTGCCGTTGCCGTTGCCGTTGGGGTTGCTTTGTTGACTAGCCAATGCCGTTTGGGACACATCTTGGCGGCTCCTGCTCCTCCTTCTCCTCTTGCTGGGCTTCTTCTAGAAGGTAGTAAAGAGCATGACAGTTTTTGGACATTAGTCTTGTTTCGCCTGCCGGAACCCATCCAGCAGAACCACAACCAGAGCCAGAGCCAGAGCGCTGCTCTTTTTGCACTCCACTAATTAGGCGCACTTGTCGCGGACCCAACAAACAACAAAAAAATGATGGAAAAAAATTAGAAAGAATGATTGAATTTATGGTCGAAGTGGGCAATACCCTAAGAGGATTGTGCCCAATGAAATGTAAGCGTCATTTTAGGCAATTATTTGTGTCCGCAGCTGTTTGCAGCTATAAAACTTTGTAGATGAGAGATTTAGTTAGTGCCTTCCCTTAATCAATTACCCTAATTATTAGTAGGTATCTACAAAGTATAGGCTTTCCTTTCCTATACATTACAATCTTTTGTGCAACTTTAGCATGGCCCTAATATACCTTCAAGGCTATGGGCCAGCGATTTCTACTCGTTATGATTGCCCAGCAGCAGCAACATGTTGCTGTTGCTCATGTTGCAGATGTTGCTGCTGCTGCTGCTGCTGCCTGTCGTTGCAGTTGTCGTTTTTGTTGCTGCTGCTGTGCAGTCAGTGACTGGTTTAATTACAACTTTTCACTTTTGCCTCATAATAAGTTTTTTCTGTTGCTGCTGTTGCTGTTTTGTTTTATTGTTCAACAAGAGTGGAAAAAAATGTATTGCGATCGCACGGAATCTGCTTTACAACGACACATGCCACAATTAATAATTTCTTGTAACCCAAAAGAGAGTTACTGCTGCTGCTGCTGCTGGTGGTGCTGCTGCTGCTACAGGTGTATCTCTCTCTCGAAATTTAATTAAAGTTTAGCCAATCGCAGTGGCACACAACGCCTGGTTAACCCTACTCTGTGTGGAGGCCCCTGCTTGTTGCTGATGACAACTTACCTGTGTCTTAGTCTGTGTCTGGCTCTGATTAAAGTTGCTTGCTTCATCGGTAACGTGCCGGGCGCATGTCTGCAATAGAGATTGTGTGGCGGAGAGTTGCAGGCAGTTGTAGCATGAAGTTGAGAATATAATAATCATAAGTATAGGAAGGAAACACCGCAAGAAGCACCAACTGCCACCATGATAGTTGGTTGTTAGTTAGTTAGTAATTTTTATATACTATTTTTTGCTTTTTTGTTGTGCTGTCGAGAGAATGTCGAGCGGAATGTGCTCTGTGCTCTGTGCTCTGTGTGCCCTGCACTCGGCTATAATTAGTGGGGCTAACTGCAGTAGATTCACATTTAAGTGGTCATGCTGCATGTGCTGCATGTGGTGCTGGCTCCATGCTACATGTGGTGGTGCAAGGCCCACCCACCAGACCAGCCCCCCGCTCACAAGATTGCGGTATTAACCGATCCTTAGATCGTAATCGTATAATCACCACCACCACCACCACCATCACCACCCATCATCATCATCATCATCATCAGCATCATCGTCGTGAGGAGCGTGTGGCGCGTTTGCAGCAAGGAAATGTTGCAGGAATTGCATAGTATGGTATGGCATGGCGTGGCGTGGTCTGGCATGGCATGGGGGGTGGGGTTCTTGGTGTAGATGTGCTGCTGACAACACTTTGGGGGCGTCACCAGTTGGCCATTATGTGACACTCGCATGAGTTATGCAACCCATGGGAACAGCTTCTTGCCACAGAATGTGGCTAGTGCACAGTGCAGCGTGGAGAGTGGAGAATGGAGAGTGGAGAAAGAGTGATTATGGGTCTAGGAGTAATTGTGGGTTTACGTGTTTAATTACTTGAATTTTTAACTCTTCTTAAGGCAAGATAAAGGTTTAATTTTTCGGAGAATTTATTCGTGGGAAAAGTGCAGAAAACAAAGGTTCCTCGCCCATCCATCATGGATGTGCAGAGACTCTTGTATAGTTAGAGCTGCCCTTTAACTAGTTCTTAACTTAGGAATCAAACATCATCCTCTCTTCCTAATACACCTTTCTCCTACATGAATATTCAATCTTGGCTGTAATCATGCAACATCCACTCGTACCTCCCTCCCCCCATGGATATCATGCGTGTAGACAAATTATAGCTTAGCCAACAGAATCCCGTTTATCGCCTCATCATCTCAATGTTGATTATAATTACAAATGGCTACAAATGCAATTTGATACCGACAAAAAAACCAACAAAAAAAACGAACAGCTTGCTGAGTTTTTTAAGCACATCATTGGCCGTGGCCAAACGCTGCCATGTCGATGTTGATTGAAACCGAAATTGATATTGATGTGGAAGCGCCCCTCAGACCCAGCCTCTGAGGCACCCAATTTCTGCTTTTCCCAGACTTTGCTGTGCCGTGTCTAGGCCTCTTTCTGGTGGGTAGCGGGGGACTGCCGACATTTGCTCAATGGGTTCCATTGAGCCAGAAACGCAAACGTTCACTCTTAATAACTTCATTTTCAAAACTGCCAGAGAGGAGCGAGAGGAGCAGCTAGGAGTGCGGGGTAAAAGATGTGCTTGCCCCTGCCACACGCCACACAAAAAAAAGAAGCACGATCCATTCAGCGCAAGAACCGTTGCAAATCGATTTCGTTACGTTTTCGTTTCCTCAACGAAAGCAGCCAGCGAAAGATCTTTTTTTAACTCACAATATTTGTTGCTTTAGCTTTAGTTTTTGTTGTGTTTTTTTTTTTTTGCAGAGAGTTTTTGTTCGAAAAATACCCGAAACGTAATTACCCCGTTTAAACGCCCCAAAACAGAAGCAGCAGCAGAGGCAGCAGAGGCAGCAGCAGCAGCAGCATCAACTGAAAAACTGAAATACTGAAGTAGCAACAGGCAATCTTTTGTGCTAATGACTATCTTTAGAGGGGCCCCCGAAAACGAGCCAAAGACGGGTAGCAAACAGTCTGACAAACAGTCCCACAGACAGACAGACAGACAGAACGAGAGAACAAGAGATTCAAACTCCAACCCAGGGGCCAAATAATTTTCTAGCAACATTTTTCAACTATCAGAAAAATGTGCCCTAAACCGGAGAAAGACGCCGGAATCCAAGACTGCGACTTCGGGTCTTTGGTTTCCCCGGAAAACGCCAGCTGACGAATGGTTGTAACCAACAGAGTTGGAGATTGAAGAATCAAGCAATGAACAGTGCGAGAAAAGGGCATACTAGTTGGTGGCAATAACGGCTGGGAGGCGATGAATGAATTGGGAATGAAAGATGAATATGAGCTTCGAATCTAGAGAAAAATGTACCCAAATGTACTCTAAAATCACGTGATATGCAATCCCCTTTCTTTGCGTTTCTCTCAGTGTAAGTACGTGCACAGTTTTTGATCAGAGCGCGGGCCTGCAGTACTTAGTAGCAGCAGCAGCAGCAGCAGCAGCAGCCGACTCAAGTTGAAGAGAGTAATTGTAATAACAATTGCGCAATTTGCGTCAGTCACTTAACTTCTACGTTTTTCCCTTGCCCCTTGCCTTTTGGCGTGTGGTAAAGTGAGGAAAAGTCTCAGCCCGTTTAGTTAAGAGCCCTGGCACTAGGCACTAGGCACTCGGCACTGGACGGGGGGCATCAGCCGCAGTAACGGCCTCAGCATCAGATTCCGTGCCCCAACTCCAACTCCAACTCCAACTCCAGCTGCAACGCTGGTGTAACGTTGCCTGGAGATCCCCCACTCTAGGTTGTTGCAACACAGCTTTAGCTGGCTCCTCTTAGCCGGTAGGCGTTTTGTCAATCGACTGGCAATCGACAGCAGCGACGGCACAGATGACAGGCCGCCCAGGCTAATGAAAAAGATAAACAACTGGATCACATCACAGCACGGACAGGCCCAGGCACAGCAAGACACGCAGCTAATATCCCGAAGTGGGGATGGGTAGCGGGGTAGAGGGTAGGGAGCTGTACCACAGATGGCGGCATCTTTTGAGTGGTGGCTGCCTGCCTCCTCCTCGTAGTGGTGGAAAGTACTACTCCCTAGTTATAATCACAGCGCGTAACGCAAACACAATTTTTGAGTGGTTCGAGTTCGAGTTCGAGTTTGGGTTCGGGTTCGGGCTCGGGCTAGGGCCATGTGAAATCCATCTATGTTCGAGTTATGCCTGGAGGCGAGAGCCAACCTTAGAAGATCTACGAGCAGCACTAAGAGAAAGAACTGTCAGGGAGAGCAGGGGGAGGAGAGACGTGTGTGCAAGTATGTACAGTATGGTGGAAAAGTCGTTGCACCTGAGCCGGACGACGACCGCTTATCAATGTGAAAATCGAAAGAGCAAAGAGAACTGAAACTGAAACGAGCCCCAAAGAGCGGAAGCAGTTCAAGAAAATTGAAAGAGGTGCTTAAAATCACGTTATAGCAATGGTAGGTGGTAGGGGGGAGGCAGGGGAAAAGAGAGTGCGGCGTGATAAATGATGCACATTTGATATAGGGATTAATGGCAAGAAACCGTTTATGTTCTTTTTGTGTAGATTGTAGAGCAGAGACAGTTGAGAAGGGGGAGAGTCCAGACATAGACCATACTTGCAGCAGTTAATGGATGATAAATGTAAAAGTGATGTAACAGTTCCTCTTGTCTTTATTGGATTAACATAATGATTCTCATTGTTCTTTAGTCTTTAGGCATCAAATAAGTCACTTTTTATTAGGGTTCAAAAGTTCTCCGAATAACTCTTGCATTTAATGAATATTCTGTGACTTTAACTGGCACTTTCCGAGGTGCAGGAATACGGAAGCCAGTCCATGAATAATGACAGTAGCAGAAGAAGCTGAAGACTCTCGTTTCTGTCTCCTGTCTCGCTGTGTGTGCGCTAACTTTATGGCCTAACTGTTTGGGGCCCGGCATTTGGCGCCTCGTTTGCTAATTGAAAGCAGAGTGAGAGAACGTTCGCGCTTACTTATTAATTATTTATAATTATGTGCTGGTGGCGGGACAGTCATTACGCATACGCAATGTGGAGCCACAGACATTAAATTCCAATGAGCCTGAGGCCGCCTCCTGGCTCTGGGGCTTGAGGCAGCGCAGTGAGGCATTCAGCCTGCTCGAAATACAAGGAGTATGTAATAAAAGCAACACGTTTCCCCCTTCCCTACTCCCCTCTACACCCCAAAAAAAAGCTGTTAAGTGTCCGGCAGTGGGCCACAAACATAAATCACTGCCAGAGCGCGCTTCCACTGGTTTATTAACCTCTCTCTCTCTCTCTCTCTCGCATCACACCACACGCCTAATGGCCAATGGGCAATGCCAAGCCAAGTGCTGTGCAACCTGTCTGTCTGTCTGTCTGCCCGTCTGTCCGTCCGTCCGTCCGTCCGTTCGTCCGTCTGCCTGCAACCGCTCGCTGCACTTGCACCTCTGACTGGCCACAGATGACGCTGTGGTGTGGTGTGGGGCAGCCCCCCAGCTGTTTCCTTTTCTTTGACTTTAGCTTTTCTTTTGGCTGCGTTTTGTGGCGCGGTGCAGCTTTGTTTTCCATTGTCCAAATATTTACTTTGTCTTGCGGCTCGAGACTCACGAGACTCGCGAGGCTCAAGCCCCCATGACGCTGCGGCTTTTAGGGTCAGTTTCTTCTAGGTTCTGTTTCCTTGGGTCTTTCCTTCTCTCTCCCTCTTCTGGGTGCTTCTTGTAATTTATTTTCCTCTCTGCGGCATAATTAATTTGGTTTTCATTCCCCCTAGGTCTCTCTCCTCTCTCTCTCTCTCTCTTTCCTGTCTCTATTCTAAATAGCTTCATTTTCGATGTCATAACCGTTCGCTTTTGGGGTTCGGTTCGGTCATGATCGCTCCATGATCGTTCGGTTTGTTTCGTTTCACATCTGTCCCTTGAGGAAGTTACACCGTAAAACACGTGCGTAACCGTAACGTTGCGAATTGGCCATTAATGAGGTGAAGTGGTTCGAATCGCACTCGTATTCGCATCTGAATCAAAAGTCGTGCATTCGCAATCACTTTTCAATACAGACAATGAACTCTATTTGAAAAGGGAATGGCCAGGCCAGTTGGCCGGTCGACTGATGACAATTTGACAGATTGAAAGTGAAAAGTAAATGTCTGGTCGCTAAGTGCTTGCAAAGGGATAGGATGGCATGGTATAGTATGGGATAGGAGATGTCTCTTATCGTTAATTTGCATGAAATGCACGTTCAAGCACCAGGGCCCTGGAGCCAGCCCCGACGGGTCGTCGTTGTCGTTGTCGTCGTCGTCTCTGTGGGTCAATCAGCATTCACTTGTCTCTCATTCACAGACAGACAGAGGGACAGACGGACAAACGGACGGCCAGTCGAACAGACGGACACTCGAGTGGTAGACAAGAAAACCTCGAGGCCTCTAAGAGAGACTGCCCCAGTGAGTGTTGAAGATGAGCTGCAGAAAGTTAGAAAAGAAAAGTAGTTGGGGCAGCAAAAAGAATGAAATGAATACTCAAGGGTTTCCACTCACTCACTCACTTAATGAGTGCTCTCCAGAGCTCTCCCACTGCACAGATACCAATTGAAACGATCCATAAATCGATCCATTCACACCTTCACACACTCTCTGAGCAGGCACCTCTCTGAGACTAGTTCTCCTACTCTCCCTCTCTCAACCCCGCTCTGTCTCTGTTTGCAATTAATGCAATAATAATTACGCATTTGTCGCTAAATGTTTCAATCCGTTCAATGTTATATATTCACTGATTCATGTTCATTCACTTGACTTGCTTGGCCAATCATTCATCTGATTCATCTGACTCTTAATTATCATTCATTCATTTATTCATTCATTCATATACATAGCTGTAAATGGTATTTGTGCTGCTGTCATGGGAACATTCAACATACAATCTATGGGGCATGAGGAGGGGGCCACTCACTCCTGGGATGAATGATATATTTATTATCTTTTCTTTATTTTCTGTTCTCATTCATGGATCGTAGCCATGTGGGAGAATCGTTCTCGAGAACAGGTATTCCCTCTTGACCTTGTTTGCTCCCCTCCCCGCCCTTTGCTGCCTTTTTTACTGCTGCTTTCCATTGTCATTGTTTGGGCGGAGTCGTCTGTCGTTTTGTTGTGCCCCAAACAATGATATAATACTTGTTATGACTCTTGGCCTGGAACCACATAAATATTATTACAACACATTGTTCTCGCTACTTTTTTGGGGGGTTAATAATCTTGGTAAACATATGGCTAAAGATTCTCCATGGCCAAAAATAAGCTTATAATTTTGTAATTAAATTGAACATTTCTGCCTTGAGGCCAGTGCACTTTTATTGTATAACTGTCGGTGGCCCCCAAGGTCTTTCCCAATCAGAAAAATTCAACTATAATTTCACAATATGCCAAGCCGCATGACATTTTTAACGCATTTAAATAATTTTGCGCCTGAAGTTGTACAAATGGAATAATGGGGATTGCTTGGTTCCATCAAATTATATAACTATTGCCATCGCCATCGCCATCGCAGCTGGAAGACGGCAGTAGACAGTCACAGTTTGGTGACTGCTGCCTCAGTCTCTGGCTGAAAGTGCCACAAAAATTGGTTAAGAGTAAGAGGACAAATTTCGTTTTACGCGCAGGTGAATTGCGCTTTTATGAAGCACTTTGATTGCCGCATGAATGGGAATGTACGAGGTTCGAGTAGAAAGATTCATTGGTGGTGTTACGGGAGCCAGAGCCAAGCCCCAGCCGAGCCCCACAACTGCAACAATTATTCTGCTCGATGACTTTCGCTAATAAAACGACATAAGCTCTGCAGAAGTGGAAGTTGACACACAGATACAGTCAGACGGCAGATGAGTCTCTGGGTTTTATAACACACTCCCCTCCAAAAGATAATCGCCAGCCAGCTTGAAGGGGGATTTATGGCGCAAACTGTTGTAAAATTAGAATGTCTGGCCAATTTAACCCAAGAGTAGCAATCAAATTAGTCAGAGGTGCCAACACAGCGGTGTTATAGACCCCCCATAAAACATATGTTCATGCTAATTTTATGGCAAATAAATAAACATATTTATATTTATAAGTTATTCGCCCCAAGAGATGTTTCGCCAGAGATTCTTATCCAAAGAAAATGCTCATAAATTAGGTTTAAGAACTAACGGATGCTCGAAATTGTTGGTTGTCTAATTAAGAGAGAAAAGAATAGGGGTTAGAATGCAGACACACAAAAAACAAACTGAAAACTGATAATTAAAAATGGGCATTAAACGGGTGTGTGTGGAAAACCGTAAACGCTAGAGACTTGTAGACAGGAAAAGTTATCTCTCTGGTTTCTTGGTTTTTGTTCTACTTTTGCCATTTGGCAAGTGAAAGCTGCAGACACTACATATTTATGTATTTCTTTACATTTAAAAATCCCATAAATCCCATTTTAATATCGACTTACTAGACTTTCAGTTCTGCAGTTTTGTTTTGCTTTTCGGTAGCACTTCAACTACGGATCGTTGAACTGGAGGCGAACCGCTCCGGTCTGTGTCTGTTGAGTATTTAATTGCTCGATTTCTATATAGAACAATGAACTGTGTGTGGATTATTTGCTGCTTTAACTTTGATTTTCACTGGTTGCCATTTTGGCCACGTTTTATCAAAGTTTTCTTTTCTTTTTTTGCACACATTCCTCTTCTTTCTTTGTTTTTGTAATTAAATATAATTTAGACTTTCCACCGTTTTCATGGTCAATAAATCGAGTTCAATCAAATTGTAACGAATATTTTCTTTCTTTTTTTGTTGCTTTCTTTAATTGCTGTATGCTTTTGTTTCTCCACTTTTTTTGTTGTTGTTTAATTGATTTGCATTTCACTCAGTGGCCATAAAGAAGACTTGTAAATATTGTTTCGAGGCAATAAAATGCAACACGAACAGCCCGAAGATGCAGCCCAACAGCACTCTGAATTAATTGTTGTTGAACCTTTTTCGATTTTTGACTTTGTTGTTTTAGTTTTTTGTGGGCCTCGGGTTGTTTTGTTTGTTTGAAAGATATGTTGGTTAGTTTTGGGGCTTTTGATTTAGTTTACAGCTGAGCGGAGATTTTCCTTCGATTCGATTCGATTCGATTGATTTTTTCACTTTCGTTGGACTTTACTTTTCTTTTTCTCACCACCGTTCTGCGCACCTCTCCTCGCCTCAACTCGTTTTGTTTCGTTTCGTGGGCGTTCGTTTATGGGGGGGCTGAAAGAAAAACAGAAGAAACAGAAGTGGAGCTGTTAATAGAAATGGGCCAACGATCGAATTAGAAATCATAGCCAAAAATTTATGCAAAAGGTGCCGAGCCCAGCCGTATGATTAGGCGAAAAAAAAACACCAAGCGAGCTTCGGACCCTATTTGCATTCGATCTGCTGGTAGCCGAACGAAATTGCCAAAAATTGATGTTTATCAGCAGCGTGGGGCTCGTGGGGCTCGTGGGGAGTTACTAGCAACCACCAGCGTTTCCCCACCAAATTGATGGCTATCTTGAGTTATGAGGCGTTATGGAAATGGAAATTGCATTTAACACACGGATTGGATCGGCGCAGAGGACCACTCAAAAGTGACAGTTGAAAGCGACGACGATTTGGCGAATTAGTGCCCCATGCTGCTGCTGCCTCATTTTCGGGGGGGGCTTTGATTCGAAAGTGACAAACCCTAGGGCAGGGGGCAGCAGGTTGATGATCTCTAAATACATCTCGTATGATTGTGCTTATCTGGGGTGAGAGGCACATTGGCCTTAAATACTTTTTGGGTTTTCTCTGATTTCAGCAAATTAATCAAGGCATTAAATATGAAACTTAATACGAGCATGAATTCGATTTATGTGAGATTTCTTTTCTTATAAATTTTAATTCTGTTAATGATCCTCTCAAAGAAATCTTCTTTTTGCTAGCCTTCGAGTTGTTTGCAATATGATTGTTTATCTGTCCGTTTTGTTTTCTTTGCTCAATGTTTTTCATTTGCATTTTCATTGCGGGGAAACCCGCTACGATGATCACATCCCCACAACGCCACCATCATGCCGTGTACCACAAGAATCACTCGCCAGACCGCAGCTTCCTGCCTCTGTCCTTTCCCCTGAGCCAGTGGCTCATTAAATGTGAATTTGCACTTCTTTGCCGCTTAATGTGGTGGTGCTTCCTTCTGGCACGACAGCGGCGACGAAGCGACAGCGAAGAAGAGTGGATGTTGTCAACGGGCAACAATTAACTGGTGCAGCGCCTACTGCTGGCCAGGCCAAAGGGGTCTTTTGTTGGCATTTCTATGCGCTGCCTTAATTGTGCCAAAGTGCTGCCAATTTTTATTGCCAACTTATCGCTTGGCAACCCTGTCGCTCTGTCTCTGTCTCTCACTCTTCTGCTCTTGGCTGCTGTTGTACTTCACTTAATGAATACCGTTACACAGTGCCACAGTGGCAGTCGCAAGTTGATTTTTCTTTTTCTCTATTGCCATTTCGCTGCAACGCATTCGCAGAACAAACATCAAACTGAACGAACTGTTTGGCTGCTGCTGCGGACTCCACGGACTCCATGGACCCATGGAGCGCTATCAAAACTAATTTATATGCAAATGCAGTTCAAGTAGCTGCAACAAAAGACATAGTTGGGATGGGATGGAGCTGGTGGTGCAGTTGGAGTTGGATGGGATGGGAGTCGTCGTCCCTGCTGGAGTTGGCGGCGTTGCCAACGTGCAAAATTCACAGCACAGCAGTAGCGCCAAATGATAGATAGAAGAGTGGATTGTGTGTGTGGGGGGGGGGACAGTGGGAAGAAGTTCTGATCTTCGTTCTTCACTCTCTCACTCTCTCGCTCTCGCTGTGCGAAATTCTCTTCAAACAGCAACAACACACACGGCACATGATTTACCGTAGAGAACAACAAAGAAATTAATTAACTGCACTTGTATGCCTCTAGCCTTCGCTCTCGTACTCTCTCCCCTTTGGGAGAGCCCATGCACGTGTGTGTGTGTGTGTGTGTTTGTGAGTAAGTGCATTAGCTTTGCAGTTAAATGCTGCGCGAGTAACAGCAGCAGGCAGCAGGCAGCGACAGAGCGTTGCATTTGACAGTGTCGGGAGCAGGAAAAACTGGCTGCAGTCGCCGTCACCGTCACCGTCGCCGCCGCAGCATTAACTCACTTTTGCATTTCCACTTCTTCTTCGTCTTCTAGTTGTTGTTGCTTCCACGTTTTCCCACTTCTTTTCTGTTTGGTTGTTGTTGTCGCAAGTTCTGTTTGGTTTTGGTGGCACACAACAAGTGGCAGGTTGAGTCGCGCGATTGCGCCGTGAACTAATTAGTGCTCATGTCGCCTGCCAAAAAGTTATCGACGGGCTGCGCACTGGCGCAGGTCATTCGCCTATCGCTAGATCTCGGCTTTGGCTTCGGCAGTGCACTGTTATCGTGACGTCTGCTCTGCAATTCTGTTCCGGTAAGGGCTGTCGGTCTGACTATTATTGTTCTTTCTTCTTTTATGCAGCAATCCCCCTAAAGTTTCGATGACTCCGCACTGTCTGTTCCCTAATCCTAATGTTATCCCTCCTGTCATTCGTTTGCCTTCAAACGTCGCTGTTACTTTTATTACTCCTTTAATCCTGTTGCCATTCTGCTGCCTGTTTTTATCATGCTGTCAACTTTTACGCCGACTTGAGTCTGATAACTTTTTATTTCTTAATTAGCAGCACTTGCTGCTCCACTTATCTCCCTGCAGCTGAGGCCTGTCGCTGTCTTAGCGAGTCTTCGGGTGTCTGGGTGTTAATTTCAAAATTTCAACGCGTGCCCCTGCTGCCACTAGCACTTCTGCCTCCGCTGTTGCTGTTGCTGTTGCAGCAATGCGTTGACAGCGAATGCAATTTGAACTTGATGGCCGGCAACGTGACACGCATATTAAGCAGACTCTTACGCTCTCCTCCGATCCAGAGCTCCGGTTTTGTAATATGCATGCGAGGGGAGGGGTCTCTTGGAGTGGGATTGGAGCTGGAGCCCGCCGGGCGGCGCTTCGCATACGCATAAAGCGGCCGCGCATGCGCAATTAGTCGTGATTGAGTCGCAAGTTTGTTTAAGCGACAAGAGCGACATCAGAGCAGCCAGCGAGCGATCGAGCAGTGACTAGCAGCATCAGCAGCAGCAGCAGCAGCAGCAGGAGAAGGAGAAGGAGGAGATGATGAAGAAACTACACACAAAATAGCAGCAAAATTACTTTGAACACGAAAAAGCACACACGCGGGAGGGGACACATGGACACAGGGTGGACAGGCAGCATAAACGTGGAAAACTCTCACTTTTGACGGGTCTGGGTCTCTGGAATCTGGCTTTATGTTTTAACAGTTTTTTTTGTCTGCTTCTTTTTCTTAACTGTCGATTAACAATTTCGATCGGTTACCAACGGCAGCAGAAACTTTTGCCGCTGCTGCTGCCATTTGATTGATTGAAATGTCTAAAGATTCATGATTATGGTTTTGGCTTTGGTTTAATTTTTTAACTCTTTGCCCCGCAGGCTGTGGCTTAAAGTGTGTAACAAAAATTAGGCACCTTTTTTTTTGGTTTGTGTGATGTGATGGATAATCAATATATCTGGGATGGATGGATGTGGCTGGGCTCCGTGTGTTAATATGCAACAAAATCGAGAGCGAAACCGAATCCGAATCGGAAACCGATCTCTGAACCGCACACGTTCGCTGTAAAAACCGAACTGCGGCCTGCAAAGCATCAGGCAAAGCATAAAACTGCGACCAAGAGAAAAGCCAAAGCCAAAGCCCCACCAGCCAGCCGCCGCAGCTAAGAGCGGCTCCAAAGAGAGCAGGTAGCACAGCGCACAACACGAGAGAGGGAGAGAGAGAGCGTTGTCTCTGGTTCGAAGAGAGATTTATGATGGACAAGTTTGTGCCTGCAGTGTTTCGCCGAACGAACAGCTGATTGCGAGCTGGGGCTCTTTAGCTTACAAATTGATAAGTGCACAAATGTTTACGGGACGATTCGACCTCGACCCCCCAGGCATACATACATATGTACATATGTGTGTGTGCATTTCTGCACATTTATTTGATCATAAATTTGCAACAACTTTTCTTCATGCTTTCCATTCATTCCCAGACTTTGTCACCCGGCTGGCCTGGCCAGTATTTTGCAAGTGTCTGTGGCTTCCCCGATCCTGCTCCACCTCCACCTCCACCTCCTCATACCCCGTCTACTGTGTGGGTGATTCATGAGCGGCCGTTCAGTCTTGAGCGGGCCGAAGCGATTATTTAATCTCCGTATTAGCGCAAGCTCTTGTGAGCGGTTTCTTTATTGACTCACCGACAGACGGGCGACCGATGGCCGACTCCTGAAAGTGGGTCAGTGTTAAAGATTTTTCTCTCTTTTGGGATTTTTGTATGAGTTATCAGTCGGCACTATAACTGTTATATAACGCTTGAGTGCAGTCTATTGTTGGGGCTTTATGGGGGCCGCATTGATGCTATGCGGTCCAAATGGATGATTCAGTTCGTTTCAATCGATTTTTGTTTTGGGTGTGTGGGTACGTACGTGCGATATTGATGGATGCTAAAATGCCGCCAGAGGTGGCAAAACATTTTGATAAATAGCCTAGGAGATCCCTACAGCTGATAGTTGATAGGCTTTAACAAGATCACGGATCTTTAGCGGCTTTTAATGGAGGTGCCTTTTCAAGGAAGAACCTACACATACTCGCAATATGAGCCATAAATTTAAGGCCAGGCGCTAAAATTAGTAGAACGAGGTGCGAGGATAGTTAAGGGTATGGAATGCTAAAGAGAAAGTTGAATGCCTCCAGATATTATTCATAATTTTTATGGCTCATTACTGGTGTGTAAAGATCAGTGGAGAAGGAGTGTTTAAAAAGGATATTTATGAATGTTAATGGCGGGTTCGAGATCAGTGATCATTGAAAAATAAACTTCACTGCTCATAAACATTGATCTTTACTAATTAGATCAGTGATCTTTAAGCTTCTGAAAAGTGAACCCCAAACACATGTGGCCCCCCACTCGAAGGTTTGTTGCATTGCCACAAAATGCAGTTCAACGAACGTTCTGGGATTCTGCTCTGATCACGGACAGGCAGGGAACACACAAAAAAAAGCAGAGAAACATTCATTCATGCCTGACTGGTCGCTGATAAATGGATGTTCGAATGGATTCCTGCTTAACAGAACAGTTCAATGACAGAAAACTCAACACGGATCGTGGCTCAGTCGGTTGATCGTCTCGGATCTGTGGATTGTCTCTGGGATGTTGGATTGCCTGGGATCCTACTACTGAATTACTCAGACATCAATTTAGCCAGAGATCATTTAACACTGTCATCGCTAAACGATCATAAATCAGTTTGTTGAATGAAGTTGTATATGAAATGTAATCAGTGATCGGTTTGGCAGAGAATGGAGAGGATCATTTACAGACAGACAGCTAGAAAGGAATGAATAGAGAGAGAGAGAGAGAGAGAGAGAGAGAGAGAGAGAATACCAAGAAAACGAAGAATTTTATTGCTGAATTTATTAGACATTAGTTTTGGGAATTGTCTGCAGTTTGTGGGAGTTCTTTAAAAGTTAATCAACAAATTTATTTGCATTTTATTCCCATACTCTTTTTCTTTCTCTCTGTCTCTCTCTGTCTCTGTCTCTGTCTCGGTTTATGGCTGAGTTTAAACATTTTATGGCACTGACTGTAGAGTGTCTTAAATGTTTGGTAAACTTCCCAATCAGCAAGTAACTAACCATTTTATTTTATTCATTTATTTACTGACTTTTCTTTGGTGGTGTGTGGAATGTTTTTTGTATCAGGTTACCCTCGGTTTCTCCTCGGTTCCTCCCACTGCTTGGCCCGAATCCAGAATATCTTAATTCCGCCATAAAAGAAAAGAACTCCCCATGACATCTCTTTTTGCAGGCAACTCGCTTTAAGCTCTCAGCTCCGCCAATATTTAATTTGACTCCAAAATCGAATTCCACCTTACTGACCCATTTAGCAGATGGCTTGAGATTCGCTGGAGGCAGGCAGTCAGCCCGGGACGGGCCTAGCCCAACGCAGCAAGTGGCAGGGGCAAGTTTAGTCAAGTGGCAAGCAGGCAACCAGGCAGCGAGGCAGCTGCTGTGGCTCGGACTTCGACTTCGTCTTGGGGCAGTCGTTGGAGTCGCTGCTTGAGACTTGATTAATAGTTTACACGTGAATCAAATCTCGAATCGTTAATTTAAATGGCCAACAACACAATGGACCCAAAGTGCTGCCAATATATTTGCCAATTATGCTGGCCACAGACCAGACGCAGAGTGCAGACTACGAAGAGTGGACAGTGGAGTCTGAGTCTGAGTCTGAGTCCGAGTCTCGGCGATACTTGAGAGGTTTTAGCATCCTGTCAACGCTTTGCTGATTGACATTTGCATAATACACACACGGATAGAGAGAATAGTTTATTGGGGAAGACGAATCTTCATGTGATCTACGGGCTTTGGGTTTGGGTTAGCCCTGAGCCCTGTGCCAAAGTGAAAGTCCATCGTGTCAAGATGAATAGGGCGCAATTTGTCATGCCAATGGAGGCCTCATCCTCAGTCAGTCAGTCTCGCGTGTGAGGGTCTGATCTGGTTTGGGCTCTGGGTCTGGTCTCCGTCGCTTTGTGGCGTGCACATCATGTCATTTTCATTGGGAATCGTTTTGTGCTGTCAACAGTGCCACAAAAGTCTCAGCAAATGACATGTACGAACTCAATCGATTATCGCCAGTTGGCGAGTAGGAAGTGGAAAGCGAACCAACAGCCAAGAGGCAAGTTTGTGTCTTGAGTCTTTCGTTTCTGCGAGCAACAGTTCCGCCAAAGACAGGGAGAGAGACAAAGAATAGACGGGCGGAATGTGGTAATTAATTAAGCCAAAAGCCAAGAACAACAACCACACACACACACACACACACACACACACACACACACACACACGCATACAGCCGCGGCAGCTGTTGAAGAATTTTTCATTCCATTTCCAGCTGGGAAAGTGCACGGAGCAGGGGCTTGGTGGGCGGTCGATTCCCGGGAAACCAAACATTGCATGCATGAAATGAGCGTAATTATTAAGTACAAGCAGCCTTGCCACATCTGCCTTTGCCACCACCACTAAGCTGTGGTACACAGGCCAGAAGCACAGGCACAAGCACAAGCCCAGGCCCAGGCCCGGGCCCGGGCCCAGGCCAAGTCTCTTGGCCATCAGCCATGTCTTTATTTAATAGTTGTGTAAGTATTTTTCACAGCAATATTGAATTTTCCGCACACACATGTGACATGGGTCAGTAACCTAGAAATGAAAATAACACCTTGCTGTGGCTTCCACTCCTAAAGCTAAGACTAATACTAAGACTGAAAGGCTGAAAGGCTGATGCTGAAACTGAGTCTGAAGCTGACTCTTTGGCTGCCAACTGCCATAAATGTGGACGGAATGGAGATGGAGCTCTGAGGAGAGAACCCAACCAACCGTCGACCCCCCTCCTGTGTATGTGTGAGTTTCAAGACCATATCTATATCTAAGCAAGTGTATGGATGGACTGCCACTGCCACACAGCCACTGCAGAGTCCAAGCCAAAGCCAAAGCCAAAGCCAAAGAGAAGCCACAACATAAGAGAGAACCTGTATGGAGAGACGTACAAGACATGGCCCAAGAACCAACAAACATCTTTAGACAATTTTTTAAACCGCAGCACAGCACACACATCCAAGAAAATGTTGGAAAAACACACACACAAAACACAAAACACAAAACCCAAAACCGCAAAATGCTGCAAAAAATAAAAGACAACGACAAACACTCGGATTAACAATAGAAGCCAGCAATAAAGAATGAACAGCGAATGGCTCTTCTTTTCAGGCAAATTAAATTAAAAGCACTCACAAATGTAACCCTAAACATTGTCTAATGGCCGAAAAAAGACAAAAGGCCCAAACAGAATATGTCAGGCAAAGCAACACAGAATGGGCAGGGAAGAGCCATACAAATGACAGAACAGGAAACATTAAAATTGGGGCAGGAAAAACGAATATTGAATGCTCTTAGGGGTAGAAAAGCGGGTGGAAATATTACAGGAAATATAAGATAAAGCTTAGATATTGTTATTCATTCTGCAAAGATATCTTATAGGAAGCTCTCATATCTCCTCTCATAGCTGAAAAGCGCACAGAACAGGGTCTCAAATGCACTAAAATGCCAACTGAAATACTTGTAGATTGTTTCACTACATTATTGTTGCTGCATGCCACGTTTTCTGCACATCATAGCTCAAGATCTCAACCTTCCAGAGTCAGAGTATCACAGCCACAGGGACGGGGGCAGTGACTCGCTCTGTGCTGGTTGAACTCTTAGTCAGAAGCTGACTGACGGTCACAGTCAGTTAACAGCTGGCTGGCTGGCTGGCTGGCTGCCTGGCTGGCTGCCTGGCATTATGATGATATAATAAACAATGCCACAACAGCCAAAAAATCAAGAATAATCGCAAAGGGAGAAGTTGCAGGGAGAAGTAGGAGAAGCAGCAGTTGTAGGAGCTTCCAGCCAGGTCATGTCTCAGAGCTTTGGCATGCGTTTCAAATTGCTTGTCAGTGCAGGGAGTGTGAGACTCTAACAAATCATGCCTGCAACACCCTGGGAGACTTGACTTTACTTGAGGCAGAGATTAATTTCAGTTGACAAATTACACATGA